CACTAATTGTCTAGTTCTTAGCTATAGTTAACATTTTTCACTTAAGTCGTAATCTAACTTCTAGTCTCAATGTTCTGACATTGTGATGTACCTTATTTGACATTAATTGGTTAGGACCAACTAGAAGGAAGTTCTTAAATTATACAGTGTCCGCAGGTACGGCATGTGCTTTGCACCCTCCAAGTGCAAAGTACTCCTACAAGACTGGCAGGATTCTCATCCTGTAATCGCCCTGGATGATGAGCAGATTGAAGTAGTTGAGAAGTTCGTGCATCTAGGTAGCTATGTAAGTGCTGGTGGTGGCGTCAGTGATGAGATTGATGCACGTATAATGAAAGCGAGAGCGGCTTGTGCCAATCTGGGCCATCGTTGGCGCCTTCGTGATGTTAGTCTGGCTGTAAAAGGTCAGATCTACAACGCGTTGGTGAAAGCAGGTTTGCTCTATGCTTGTGAAACCTGGCCTCTCCGAGTTGAGAATGTTAGACGTCTCTCTGTGTTCGATCATCGCTGTCTCCGAAGGATTGCTGACATCCAGTGGCAACACTATGTTAGTAATGCAGAGGTTTGGCATCGTGTGTTCGGGCGCAGGGATAATAATTCAATTGGTGTCACCATCTTGAAACACCGACTTCGGTGGCTTGGACATGTTCTACGAATGTCGTCCCAGAGGCTTCCACGTCGTGCATTATTTGCCGACTCTGAGACTAGTTGGAAAAAGCGGAAAGGAGGTCAGTGTATGACATGGTGTCGTGGCGTGAAAGAAAGCTGCAAAGGGCTAGCTTCTGTTGGTCTTTCACGACTCCCTGGCTGGGGTCCGAGAAATGGTGCAACACAGTGGCTAGAGACGTTATCAGATATGGCTCAGAATAGAAGCCAGTGGCGATCCTGCTGCAACCTTCCTTTACTTTTTACATAAAGAGTGGTTCTAACTTTCTTAACCGAAAGAGTCTTCTGGTTGTACATTTCAGTCCGCCTTATCTTTTCATCCCTTCTCTTCCTACTTTCATTATTTTGTGTGGCGCATATGTATCTGGTACCCTTTTGTACCAATATATATGTTTAAATAAATAAATAAATAACTTATTACTTGGTGGTACTCGTCAGCAATGTATATTCGCAAACTTTAGGGAACTAATGAAACTCAAACCTACGTGGCTCACTATCATTGTCAGAGGAAATAACATAGGGATCTTCAGACGGTGTATGACCTGTAAGACAGGAGTATCTTTACTAACAACAATGACGATTCTCTGTGACTGTTGGGGCTGAGTTTTTATAAGCCTTTTCGTTAACTGTAAAATTAAACAATTTCTATCTATTCATATTTATTCCGTGGTAATATCCTTTACAAATAATTATTCACCTACAGTAAGGTGTGCGAAATTTTCCTCTTAATAATTCTTCACGTCAATTGAAAGTCAATTTTTCTTTTATTATTGACTCTGATGATAATACAAAATATTTCATAAAAAGATCTAAGAATATTTTAGTGTTGTTGAGCTATTTGAGTTATATGGCTCAGTTGAGTAGCTCTTATCTTTATTCTGGGCTACAGCTTCTGTATTTACTACATCTAGAAGTGATCTTTGTAGTCGTACCACAAGCCTTGAATCATATTATTCCGATGGGCCTTATTGTTATTCGTTTTCGTCTCAGGTTTCATTATCTTCAGTCGTCTCTATGTTTTGTTCTGTAGACCTTAGACCAGGTTGTTGCTTGACTCGCCTTTACATGAGGTAAACATCAATGACGTTATCCAAAACGAGGATGAAAACTCAACAACTGGATCATCTAGCTCAGAGAACTTAACACCATAAAAACCGTCCACCTATTCTGTAAATCATCATTTCAAAAATATGTAGTACGTATTCTGTATTACTTTATTTTGTGGGAAGCAGTTATTAAGCATCTTCATGGATTATATACTGAATGAAACAAAACTCTAATAAAGACCTAATAACCATTAATTTTCTTCTTCGCCTTAGTACTTTAAATAAAGATTTCCATGTTTATGGAAAAGTCTGTTGAGAAAAAAAATGAGATAAAACAATATGCATAGTGAAAATTTCACCAAAGACATTTTAAATTCACTACATAATATTCAGCTTGTTCTTGTGTGAATTCACATTATAGGACTCACCGATTATTATACCTTAGTCATCAATGAAATCTTTTAAGTAATCCTATTAAAATATCGAGGGATAACTAAGTTCAATGAAATGCTGATAGATTTGTTTGCTGTCATAAGCTTGATGAATATAACAGACACTGCATAGTTAATCTAAAAAAGAAAAGATATGACACTTAATGAGACCAAATGTTGTGAAATAAAATACTAAAAATCTACATGTATATACCCTAAAATTAGTCATTTATTCAGATTAAACAGTAAATTGGAACGGTCCGAAGAGACGTGTATTTATGTCTAGGAAATAATTAGCAAACTCTAAGCTAATGCAATTCACAAGTGTAACAGCTTGATACTAAGAAGCTAAAATGTGTCCACTTACCACTTTAATTGTAAAATGAACATTTTATTTAAATCCCTTTCAGTTATTAATATTATTTTATGCTAGTGGTATTTACTTGATTGTTATTTCATCCGCTTCCAAACAGATCATTTAATTTATTATTTGATCTTAACTTACCTAATTCTTAAAACTTAAGTAGCTCGATTCAAAGTTTCTATGAATATTCAGTAACTAATTAACTTACTAGTTTTAACCATTCCGGTCTCATTTTATAAGAAGTTTGAGTAAATGAGTCAAATGTCGTGGATTATAATATGATTTGTTTGCCTGGTTATTAACAGAATCCTACATTAAAAAATGATTCAATGTTAGTAACTCGGAAAGAGTTCAAATCCATTTTACAACAACATTGGGAATACTAAATAATCTAGTTTAAAATGATTAAGGTGATGATACATAAACTGTTGGTTTATTCCAATTAAGCATCATTATTAAACTTTTTGTACTTACTAACCTTCATTTAACTTTGGTTGTTATTGTCTTAAAACATTATAGAATCCAGAGGATCATTCTGTTACTTATACATCATTAGTTAATCGACTGTCAGGGAAGTTTAATTTGCATTTCCATATGGATGAGTAAGTTTCGTGTCTTATTTATGCTTCTGGGATTCATTCATCAACTCACTCGTATATTCATACATGAATTTGAGGTCTTGATGTCTAGGATCCATAGATAACATTTTGAGAGTTTACGAATCAGGGTTAACTCATTAATAACCATAAACATGATGCTAAGATGAAGTTTTAAAAGCATTTACCTAATGCTCAAAATCCTGTTTCGTTTGAAGTATGCGAAGTGTCCCATCATTTCCCTAAACTGCTTACTGGCTACTGAGACCGTGAGACGTGATTGATGCTTGTTTAACAACTATAAGTGTACACACGGTGGTGGAATCAGTCATAAAATGAATTATGCGAACGTCCCAAGGTCCCATCATATCCCCATTTGCGTACTTCTAATTGCCGAGTATCTAAAAAAATGAATCCTATTTTGCAACCATAACTAGCCTCAAGTCCAGATGAAATTTCGTATCGATTAATGTATATTCTAGTAATGTCACTTCGTCGTTGGATAATGAGTCTGATGTTACTTTTATTCCTCGTAGCACTTAAAATGAACTATATCAGCCAGGTATATGTCCTGAGACGGATTGTGTAAAGACTGCTTCTGGTGGTTTGGTCAAAATTATTGGATTAACCAAGTGTTTTATTCGATTTGGTGTTCTGGTAAATAAATCCAAACACTTATTTCCCCCAATGAGCTACTCGGTTTACCGGGTCTCGATTACATAATTGAGTTAAATATGTGTGAGCAACCATTTAATTTTATTAGTGATCCAGTTTCCAGTTCAGTCTTGTCCCATATTTCCATACGAGTGATAAACTTGAGTAGATGTTCTTCAGGTTTTGAGGAGTAATATTGCTTACTATACAAACGTTACTTACTTACTTACGCCTGTTACCCCTCGTCGAGGAGCATAGGCCGCTCACCAGCATTCTCCATCCAACTCTGTCCTGAGCCTTCCTTTCCAGTTCTTTCCAATTACTATTCAGCCTTTTCATATCGGCTTCTATTTCCCGGCGTAGTGTGTTCTTTGGCCTTCCTCTTTTCCGCTTCCCTTCCGGATTCCAAGTTAGGGATTGAGTCGTGATGCACATTGGTGATTTCCTTAATGTATGTCCGATCCACTTCCAACGTCTGGTCCTAATTTCATTTTCAGCTGGAAGCTGGTTTGTCCTCTCCCATAAAACGCTGTTGCTGATAGTATCCGGCCAGTGGATGTTGAGTATTTTGCGTAGACAACTGTTTATAAATACTTGTACCTTCCTGATGATTTCCGTAGTAGTTCTCCACGTTTCAGCTCCATACAGTAGGACTGTCTTGACGTTCGTGTTAAAGATTCTCACTTTGAAGTTAGTGGAGAGTTGTTTTGAGTTCCATATGTTCTTCAATTGTAGAAATGCTGCCCTCGCTTTGCCAATCCTCGCCTTTACATCTGCATCCGATCCTCCTTGTTTATCAACGATGCTCCCCAGGTACTTGAATGTTTCCACCTCTTCCAGAGTTTCGCCGTCAAGTGTGATCGGGTTGGTGTTCTCCGTGTTGCATTTGAGAATCTTGCTTTTTCCTTTGTGAATGTGGAGACCTATCGATGCGGAGGCTGCTGCTACATTTGCTGTCTTCATCTGCATTATACAGACGTGTTTAGAATGAAATGTAAGATCGATTTGTTTTATGAAAACGTTCTGTAGGCAGCTGAATTATTAGTAGACAAATAGTTCAACATATTTAAAGAATTGAATACCTTTCATTCAACTAATTCTTCATGAGAAGCGCTTATTTTGATGAGAGAAAAATCAGGTGACTCAAAACAACTAGGCGTCTATTTTTCGACTAAACTGAATTATACTCAAGAAATATATTGTTATCAGCTCCCATCTCCAGATATTTTAGAACTAAATGAAGGTAGCTTCTATGTGCAGGTTGATCTAGCTAATGTATACATGCGGGTAGCAGTAACAAAGAGCGCTGAGAATAGATAACAATTAATATATGCAAAGGTTCTGTTTTTGTACCCTTCTACTGCTTTTCGTCAGGTCAGCTCACGCTATATTTCAGCAAACTATATATATTATAATTGCTAACATAACAGGTGTTCTTGGTCACAAGAGCCACATTGTCCTTTTCAGATTAACCTGAGGAGATTCGTTAGGTCGTTTGTACAGGGTACTTTGCCATAGGAAGGATTATGGTTTAAAAGTGAAATATTAAAAACGTAAGTTTATAAAAAACTTAACCAAATATTTGGTATTTATTGTCGATCACTATGTCTTAGAATTAGGGAAAAAATTTTACGAAATATTTAACAAGTCCTAAATTTGGATTTTATTTGTAAAGGTATTGGTCCACAAGTTGCATTGCCAATTTTACGGTGAATTATTTTCCCTCTGAAGATCGCTGGTATCGTTTAATAGCTTCCTAGCGAACACATATTTGCTCATAGATTTTATTTATCATATATTCTAAGAAAACGAGATTTTTTACAATCTTATAGACAGATTACATACCTAATCATTTCTTACAGGAAGTTATCCATGGAGGGTTGACCGTAACTCATGTGAATTCAAACCTTGAAGTGATGAAGAAAGTATGCAGCTCAGGTGTTTTTAGTCAGATACAGTTCTCTGAGCTGAGTAGTTTAATTCCAAAGCTTGGCTAGAATCATGGCATTCGAGTCAATCTGTTAATCAATGGGGACATATATGTAGCTTTTATTCATGGTCAGTTGAACAAAGCAACTAACGGCGACATAAGATAACAGAAGGATACTAAAATCCATATAGATAACCAGTTGAAAACAAGTTCATCAGAACAACCCGACATAATGTTTGTGGAATAATCAAAACGCTTCCAAATCAGATGATGACTATCATTTTAATAGGTATTCCAAAAGAATTTCCTCTACACTTAAGTGTCACTCAACTATTCCCACAATGTTCATTATGTACACACCGTTCCATACACTCAGGATAATACAAAACCAGATTATTTAAACGAATACACTAAGGACTAGTAATGGTGTTTATTTAGTAGATTATTTGCATTCTTCATTTCGGAGTTTTTATAGTTTGTTCCGGCATGATATTGCTGTGGAGACCTAAATAAATCAAACACTTCACCAAAATTAAGGATTAGATCCAGAATTGTCTAACCACGCTCATTTCAAGATTCGCTAGACACTGAAAAACGCTTTTTCACGGATTCAGGTGAGGATAGATTTTGGTTACTTGTAAGTAGCTTAAGACAAATCACTAAATTATTGTGCATGTTCTAGTGGTACCAGTTGCAGAATGCTCTTATGGCAATCTTTTTCCAAAATCGATTTTAAGCATGCAATTAATCGCAAACTCTTAATGTCACTCACCAGAACCACTTGAGTAGACTCCATAACCTTGATATCCTCTCCTTTACCTGTCAAATCTGCTCACTAACGATGTACCTGGACTGATCCAACTAGGTACTAATTAGACACTTAGTATTAACCACTACAATCTTGTCTAAGCTTTGATTGCACTAAGACCACTAATATAAGTGACTGGACTTCACGGAACACCATATTTGTGTTAGATAGTCGGGGTTAATCGGTAAGAAGACCTGAATCAACATTCTTTACTAGTTGGCAATCATTAATAAGAAGTATCTGTTATCTTGGGGAAATTTATTTCCTCCATGGGATTCTAACACGTAATGTGAAAAAGTCATCATAGGCCCTTTTCGCCGTAAGCCCCATTAGATCCACAAATACCAGCGAATTCTCGCTGATAACCGTGATGATTATCTTCTGTGCATTCAAAGCATGATACATGTAGATAATATTATATTTTCAGTGTTTACAGACTAATTTTTAACAAGTAATACGAGATAGTATGCAATTATGTCAGAAAGTAAGTATGGAAATATACATTTATATTTATATTTATACATAGAGAATGATGTCTCTATTGAATACAGTACCATTTACATAAATTTCATGAACAAAGGAGAGATTATACACCTATCGTTAAACTCTGTTTACGCAATATTTAAAAATAGCCTGTGGTATAAATAATAACAGTGAACAGGTAAATACTGATTATATACAAATTTAAACAAATAAATTTATGACACTTATTTTGATTGTTCTTTAACAGAATCAAAAAGCTGAAAATCATCTCCTTTTTGTATGTGTACACTAATAATAACGTAAAGATGTGTATGAAAAGAAATGCAAAACGAAAAAATAAGTGTCTTATACTCTTTGAATTAAAATGAATGCTTCTAAAACAGAAATATGGGAATACGATCTTCTTTATATTCATACACGTTAGGATCGTTATATGTATCGACATCATCAATTTTAATTGTTGTCTAACAAACGACTAGTTGCAGGTCGAACTGAAATTAGAAAAAGTCATACAAAAATGCATACACAGTTCAATCTATAAACTAGATTAAAACAAAATTGAATTAGGGGAAATTTAATTCACTGATTTAAGAACGAAACTATTAACACAAATGATCCACAAGTTTGAAATATGCATCATCTACCGATGTTGGCTACAGACTTGAATCCGACCCCACATACTACAGCTTGAACACACGGGTAGGATCACTAGCCTTCATAGCCAGTACGTGATTCAGTCATTTACAATCGACGTAGAACCTGACAACAAAGTGTGTTGTTTAAAGTTTCCGTAACACGTTACCGCGAGATTATATTAACAAGACAAATCGCGAAGAAGATCAAAATAATGTAGTAACAATGATACAAAGGAAGACTAACCATAGGGGATATGATTCGAAAGGAGAGAGTGAAAAGGTATGTTTGAATGAATAGTGAAACTTAAAACCTAAACAACGTTAATCTAACTGTACCATTGAGATTGGATTCTGAGCTGCTACACAACATCTTCAAGCAGTGATACGACTATAATCATCATCTACTATCATAGCTCACGCCAACAGCTAATGACTTCATGGACTGACACCACATTTCGGTTTGGCTACCCATAACTTCCATTCAATTTATTCCTACAAGAGCAAGCACTCCCTATCAAGGTAGGCAATGGTTAGATGTCAACAAATTTGTTTTAAGTTCTGTTGCAACTAAATATCAAACCGAGCTACCTTCTAGGTTAGCTACCATCCCACCGAAAAGTATAGATGAGCATTGGTTGCAATTGCATGACGCCACGAAAATGGCGAGTAAACCCGCTTGCGACTTCGCGAAACATCCCGCTTATAAGCACTGAGTTTCTTCAGGCTACTTACAATTCATTGAAGCTGGTCTGTCTACTCCGGATAATCGTGAGTTTGACCACAAACGAAGGCTGTTACGTAATCAAATTGGGCAAAGCTTGCGTAAGGACAGAGACGCCTGGTGGTAAGAGCGCTACAAATCAACGGACCCAGATGACTTACCTCCGACTCTTTCTAAAGATGCTCATGACTTTATGATTAAGGAACTGACAACGTTGTTTACAAACGTTTAGCACTTAGAGTGTTCCAACATCATGGAATCAGTAGATAGTTGTCCCTACCTTTAAAAAGGGTTCACGTCGTTCCTGCAACAACTATTGGGGGATAAGTCTACTTCCGATTGCGTCCAAACCATTGACTACTGTCACATTTGGTAGGTTGTTAAAAACCCGAGGAAGACTGACTCGCGAGGATCAGGCTGGTTTTCGTTCTGGTCGAGGATGTATTGATCATATATTCACCCTCTGCCAAATGTTAGAACACCGTTATGCTTATCACAGGCCAACAATCGTAGTGTTTCTTGACATTACGCCTACCTTCGATTCGTTCGAAAGGACTGTTCTCTGGGATTGTCGATCAAAGAAGGGTGTGCCTGAGAAGTGTATTAACAACTGAAAAGCCGTATATACAAACACCTCTCCACTGTTCAATTCAAGCAGTGGGGTTAGACAGGAGCACGCAATCTCACCATTTCTCTTCAACCTTGCCATCGATGGCGTTCAGAAAACAGCTTTGATGGATGCAGGTAATGGTTGTGTGAATCTGTTGCCTGGAGAAAGACTTCTCGACCTCGAGTATGCAGATGATATAATCTTACTGTGAGATAATGCCAAAGCCATGCGATCCGCACTTAATCAGTTGGTAATTAATGTCTGTAGGTATGATGTGTGCTTTGCACCTTCAAATTGCAAAGTACTTTTACACGACTGGTAGGACCCTGATCTTGCACTCACTCTAGGTAGCTGCATAAGTGCAGGTGGTGGCATGAGTGATGAGATCAATTCACGTATAATGAAAGCCAGAGTGGCTTATGCCAATATGGGTCATCTTTGGCGTTTTCGTGATGTTAGTCTGGCTGTAAAAGGTCAGATCTACAGCGCGTTGGTGAAAGTAGTTTTGCTCTATGCTTTTGAATCCTGACCTCTCCGAGTTGATGTTGTTAGACGACTCTCTGTGTTTGATCATCGTTGTCTCCGAAGTATTGCTGACATCCAGTGGCAACATTGTATTATCGGTGTATATGTTAAGCCCATATACTTTATTCTAGTTGCTGGCCAAGCCAATTATGTAGTTGCTGAGGTACGAATACTCGTCGTTGTTGTAGTCTGGGAAGTGCTATTTTTAAATCGTTCCAATCTTTTTTCATGTCATTTTTGCTTCGTTCCGCTCTCATCTATTGGCTTCATCACTCTGATTCCCTGGTCAGACCAATGAGTGTAGAAATTATATGTATTCTAAATCCATTCTCGTATTTGACGTATTTAACTCCGTTGTTCACCAACGCGGAATAAGTCACTTATTACATACGAGGATAGACAGTACGTACGCAACACATAACTGGTAATCCCGACGTACGAACACGCAACACAATTGGCGATCACGAATTACGAACGCGAAGCAAGGTTGGTAACTTCAACGTACGAACTCACAACATAATTGGTAATCCCTACCTGCGAACACGCAACATAATTGTTGAGCAGTATTTGGAGCATGCAACAGAATTGGCGACCACAACGAGCGAACGCATATCAGAAATGGAACGACCGACGACATATTCCGTTATGATTCGAATAAGCATCATATGCTCATTATTACAATAATGTCATAACATTATCTAACGTGGAATTATGATATTTGTTCGTATTGACATTAAACTATGACATTTACGCAGTCAAATCACTAATCGAACAAATTATAATTATATGGACATTACACGTTATGATATTCGAAACTCACTGGATTATTTTTATTATCCAATGACGAAAATTTTTCATGATTCGGGTGAGTTCGTTCCAATATTTTTCATGTCATTTTCAGTCTAACATTACACTATATCATAGACATAAGTTTGGAGTCATACTCCCGATAGTAGGAACTTATGTTCTCGATGCCACTAATGTCCATTCATCCCATTGGTACGCAGCAACCGTCGTTTCCTACATTTTCAGCGACAACCTAAACCGAACTTTCGCAATTTTTGTTTTACGATGATCCCTACTTTAATGACTATACACAAATCAAGTATTCGACGCCGCATTACCAGCCGATTAGTAATGATTATGTTCATATTATCTATTCATCGACATGTAAATCTGAATGCTGCATCATCTATTACGCATCAAAAATATTTGGTTACTGCAATTAGTATTCTATTTCCATTGCATGGTATACAAGAACATAGAGTTTAGAGCTGGTCTCTCAAAGATACACTCTTGTTCGTCACATCCAAGTCAGTCCCACTCGCTGTCATCTATTATCATATGTATTGGTATTTTTATTACGCCTTAAAACGGTTTCGTAACAAATGAGGTTGAGTGCATATCCCTCTAACTACACAAACCACGCTAGGCTGCATGACCATAAAGGAATCCGACCCCGCATATCTCGTATCAGCAGTCACTATCCTGTCCCTCTGGTTATTCTACTAATACATATTTAACGATAACTCAACGCAAGCGACAACGCACACTGACTTCGCATTTTATTATCATTATCAGTAGCAGTACAGAAATGAATTTTATTTATTTATTTATTTAAACACATATATATTGGTACAGAAATGAATATCAACCGTTGATGCAGCCATCATCCTTCGACTCGATTACTTTTACCACACACGAACTCCAGGTATGCGAATTCGAATCTACTAATCGCTGACCGACGCTATTTACTTTACTGCGGTTTATCGGAACATATTTCGCTGTTCTTTATCTTCATGTTCGATCGGCACTACAGACCAATTTCTATTATATTCTACATTACTTATTTCCACGATTTATTACGCTGTCATACCTATTAACGATTTATTACTCTATTTTCACGATATTTCGAATCGCTCATACGAACCTGTTATTTTATCATCCTGACAGTCACGACATAAATGCATGTTAACTTTTTTGTACGCTTACTAATTTACTCATAATCACATTTTAGCATTTCAATTTTTGTCCGCATCTTTGACGATATTCATGTACATTTTTACACAAGTATGACACTTTCGTTTAATACGCTCACCCCACTTGACACTGTAATTTATCAGGTATTGTACCATTTTTTCCAACATTTTGACGTTTTCTACATACCTCTTCAGTGTCATTTTTCGAAAACAGACATTTTTTTCATAAATGTGCTATTTTCTACAAGGGGGCTATGTAGTATTGGTGTATATGTTAAGCCCATATACTTTATTCTAGTTGCTGGCCAAGCCAATTCACCTTTCCGTTGACTCATCTTTTGATCTTGTTAATCATTTGCTTATAAACCTTGACTATATTTTTATATGAGCGTATATGTGTGCACACTTCGTATCTTATTCATCATATGTCTGTCACTCATTTTTGTCCGACTATAAATGTTGATTAACGCTTGATTAAATCGAGTTGGCTTCCCAGCCATCTCCACTGCATGTCATTTCCGCCTCGTTCGCTTCCTTCGCTTATTCGCCTGTTCACTCGCTCGTTATTATTCGCTCAGGTGTTGTTAACTTTCTAACCTGAGTTATTCGACAATAAACTGTAGTTGCTGCTATCCTTTGTCTTCTGATTTTACGCACCGTTAAGATTAGAATTATAACGGTTATCTAAGTAAACGATTAACGAATCGCGGCACTACAACATCATGTTCGCAATGCAGAGGTTCGGCATCGCGTGTCCGGGTGCAGAGACGATAATCCAATTGGTGTCACCATCTTGAAACATCGACGTCGGTGGTTTGGACATGTTCTACGAATGTCGTTCCAGAGAATTCCATGTTGAGCATGATTTTCCGACGTTGGGACTGGTTGGAAAAAGTGGAGATGCGGTCTGTGTATGATACGGTGTCGTATGAAAGAAAGCTGTACATGACTGACTTCTGTTGGACCTTCATGACTCCCTGGTTGAGGTCCTAGAGATGGCTAGAGACGTTATCAGATATGGCTCAGAATACAAGCTAGTGGCGATCCTGCTGTAACTTTATTTTACTTTCTTCATAGAAAAACGGACGTAATTTCTTTGACTGGAAGAACTTTTTCTGGTTGTACCTTTCCGTTCCTCTCATTATTATTCTTATTATTACATTAACATACACTAATCTGTGGTTGTTATTATTCCTCTTTTTTTTCTTATACACACCCTACCTTCTTTTTATTTTCCCATTCTCATTGTTTTGTGAAGCGCATATATGTCTGGTACCCCCTTGGACCAATATTTCTGTTCATATAAATAAATAAATAATAAGATTTGTCTCATTCTTCCACTTATAATAGTATTTTTTCATATTTTATTTATTTATTTATTTAAACACATAAATATTGGTACAAGGAAGCACCAGATAAATATGCGCCTCACAAATCTCATTCGATTTGTGCGAGGGCTGTGATACTGCTCAGGTGCCCAGACTGAAGCAGGTGGTTTTCTTAGGGGGCCACACCCGGAGCCTTTGACCTGAATATCTGATCCACATGGCAGTGGAGCATTATAAACCCTCCTTTCTAAAAACTTTACTGTAAAATATTTACTAATTTTCAAAGAGTAATAACTAATTTATTACAGCCAACTGTTAATATTATTCTCATTTGAAATAGCCATGGGTTGGTTTTTTTATATACAGGACAATAATTTAGCTCTTATTCACTTAGTTCAAAAACGAAATCTTTTATCTATATTGTTGACAATGTAAATTATACCCAGTCACCTGTTGTTTAAATGTTCTTAAACTATTTGCAGTTATTGTATTCATTTCAATAATGTCTTGAAAATATATCTCATTTTTTAATTTAAAGCTGTTTGTGGATAATTCGATGGTTTAAACATAATCCTTATAAAGATTTCACACTTATCAGTAAAAAGTTATACAATGAATTTAAGTAGGAAACTTTTTACTTCAGCTCCAGCTTAACACTAAATGTGTTTTAAAACTGTCTACGACTATAGCACAAACTCAGGTAAACAAATATGAATGATCAATAAATTTGTTCGTTGATAATTTCAAACATATAGACATACCTATAGCCTAAGTAATATATAATCCGTCTCCGATGTATACTGTAGATGAAATTTGCAGAAGAATATTATTCATACGTAAGGGTTTGAGTTTTCATATTGTTAGTATTATGGACTGCAGTTGACTGATCTTTATTGACACATGTGAATCCTGAGTGGATTACCTCAATACTAGCCTTAAGTTACAAGTTTTAGTAAGATTGGATTGCAGCTAGCAATGGGATCCACAACACGCATTCCATTATAATTGGGACTAGTCAGCTGAATGTATCTGAAGCTTAGTGCTGATGTATGTACTTAGAATTGAATCCTATACCTTTCGCCTCAAACTTCATACCCGTTAAACAAGTTGGTGGTGATATGGACTCAAAAGTTTACTGAAGGACGCGCTAACGCTTGAAGTTATTTGGTCCGAGTTTTAGTGTAACGATCAACACTGGATGAAGGTGCAGACAGCTGACAAGTCTGAAACAGAACGAAAAGCTTGTTATGGATTCCACTGTAAGCCATATTTCACTTTTACCAGAACATTTTTGAACCTGATCAAAAACACAAATATGTTATTTCAATCATATAGACTTGGAAATTTTTCATAAAGTATTATAAATTTAAATTACTGAATAAAGCTCTTAATCAAGGTTTCTATTACCATTAATTATTGAAACTGATTGAAAAAATGATGACAAAATGTTACTGATAATGATTAAGACAACATATAAATCAAAATAACACTTTATGGGTATCAATACCATGGTTGGACTTGACAGTTTCAAATAAATTGAACGTTGGGTAGAAAGTTAATAATAAATATATTTTTTGTTATATCCCAACGAGTAGAAAAATTGTATTTCTGACGTTTCATGGCTTAACATTTACTCTGAAGAGACGGCTTACATTAGGTCGCGAAACGTCAGAAGTACAATTTTTCAATTCATTGGGATATAATAAAAAACGTAGTTACTATCAAAATAACAACTGTAATAAATAAAAAATTTCTAATATAATTTCCTTTTTTTACTGATTACTCACTTGATATCACCGCTTCACTTAATTGTCGCTTTATCGTTATACCTGTTTTCGTAGCTGAAATATTATTGACGCTATTATTAGTAGCAGTAGTAACATTAGTAGTAGAAGTGAATGAAGACGACGGGACAGATATATGACGTTTACAATCATTTTTTGAAGATTGAGAAATAAATGCAGATAAATTTGGTTTATTGATAGAAATTGTAGTTGAACTATTATTGTTAGTAGAGTTACTTTTAAAAGATTCCGTTTTATGATTGTGTGATTCAATTACTCGAGGTGTTTGCATAAGTTGAATATTTCTAAGAGGAGTAACCTCTAAATTAGATGAGGTTGGACTTTTAACTTCATTAATTATTATAGGTTTATTCACAAACGTTCGAACAGTTGACCTAGTTCCAATCAAAGGAGTTTGACGTAATTGCTACATTGAATTGAATTTACAAAAAAAAAACGAAATAAACACATAAAATAAGGAGATTAGTTTGAAACAAGGATATCATTTAAATTTCAGTTTGTTTCATGGTTATTCTGATACTTAAAACAACTGTATCAAATAAATGTGAATAACAAGTATTTAAAATGAAATATTATAAACTAACATTAAATAATTGGAAGAAAGAGGAATAATAATAAAGTAATTATTCGAAAATCAAGCAGCTGCTACGTTGCATAATATATACAAAGAGGAGAAAGAGATAACAGAATGTTTTGATGAATGGTCAGTAATATAGTAGTTACGTAAGAATCAAGAGACGAATGTAGAGAATGAGCAAAATACAAAAAAGAAGGAACATGAAAACTGTTTACCAAAGTTTTGCTACAGACTCCGCTATAAGATGGCCAAGGTAGAGAGAGTGGTTGTACAAAGTTCTTTTGGATACAAAGGTTAGCATTGTGAACATAGATTGCGATGGCTTCAGCAATGTGCAAAAGACGAACTCGAAAACCATGCGGCAAATTCGATGGAATATGGTAGATAACCTTAAAAGCTTTATTCAGTTCAACCTGATGACCTGTGTCCACTAAGTGAGCGAGAATAGAACTCTTAATCACTTTTACCTGTCCTTTGTTCAGCCACAACGGGTGGTACCCCCCTACATAACTGGCTCCAAAGGAGCAGTTGAATTGGTAAATATACACATGGATGGGGCAAATTCAGGCAATGTTTTTACTAACCGTTTTTATTGTGGGACGGTTTTGGAAGACAGTACTCAGTTTGGCTGCATTAAATGTTTTCTGTACTGCCTTTCTTAATCTGTGTCACGATTTCTTCCGTAGCATCATTTAGGAATTGTAATTTTAAGAACAATACCTACTTCGGAAAGGTAGGTACCATTGTTCTTCTTTTCGTCTCCTTCATGTGTTTGTCGATGAATTTTATTGGGTATCCATTCTTACTAAGCAAGTTACGAATACTAACCAATTCATCTAAAATAATGCCATCCGAGCAAATCATTCTAGCACGATGAGACAGGATCTTTACCAAGTTTCTTTTGTATATGATTGCTACTGAACTATAGAAATGAGTGTCTTGTCTAAATGTAGATTTTCTATGTAACCCTCTTTTTAATGTTCCATCAGCAGTCAGAATTGGAATTTTCATTATTTACTTTATCCTATACTACTGATCGGCATATATATATATATATATATATATATATATATATATATATATATATAATGAACACCAACTTACTTTAATGCGCTTACTAACACTTTCCCCATCGTTGGATATAGATACAGCGGGAGTTGTTTTATCGGCAACAGTAGCAGCCGCTAATGCCATTACTTCATCACGAGAAAGCATGACCACACGTCTCCGTGTTTCGGGTGCAGGAGACTTAATTAGCAAAAAAAGAAACAATGGGATTCTTCACATTTAATCTTAAAATCATAAGGCTAGTTATGTGGTTTTCCAGTAATACCATAAAGTCGAAGAATAAATACAATATACAATATTATAATGCAACTGTCATACAATACTTAGAATATTTATCTTAGAAGTTGAATTTTATTGTTAGAAAATATTAAATATAATTTAACATAGTAATCAACCTGCTGGACTTATTCTTGAGTTATATATTTCTCTGTGAGTGCTAGTGATACCGCCTGTTCAAACTGACATACGTAAGGCTATGTTCGAAACCGTCAGAATACAACGGTTTTAAGAATAAGGATGGATCTATTGCGAAGATGCTTTCATGCCAAGCTGTCCTAAAAGAATTTCGTTCACTCCTTCAGACACACATAGATTCCATATAAACAAGTGATGAGACCCTTGTTAATATCAAAAACTGAAGCTCGAACTGTCTGTGGATTCGAACATTATTGTGGTGATGTGCAGTGTCCGAGTTTGGTTTTGATACATAATCTTCCTATGCAAGAGCCCAACTGACTAATAGAGCGAGGAAGTTTATGGACAAAACCGAATTGGCTTTTATGTACTCATTCATACTTACACTCCTTCAGAAAGTCAAACCGTCTTTTGTTGGACTGCTAGTTGCTTGTAACAGAAATAAGGAAACACTGGAAACCGTAGTTTATTCAATGAGTTAATGTTAATCTTTTGAGATCTATCCCATACATATTGAATACTCAAATCATTACTTCCTAAATGCAAGGCTTTGCTAACCTACATATATTTTAAAACTCACTAGATTTGAAGAAAGTTCAAATTTTTTAAACCTATCTTTCCATTTCGATTAGAAGTGTTTGTGAAAAGAGAAAAACCAGATTGATGTATAAGTGAAATGAAGGCATAGTTTATAATTGCCATTCAGAGTGAAATTAAAACTAAATGGAATATTTGCTAGACTTCTAAACATTGGATCTAAATTCCACAACTACCGTAAAATTTAATTTTATCAGGGAATGCGGAAAGTCTCATTACCTTTGAAACAACGGACACATCATAATACAGTACACGTACTTATAAAAAGTCATTTAATAATATACGTAACGAGTTACTGGATCCTCTGTTATAAAATCAAATTTTAAATATAAGCCACAATTTCTTTACAAAATAACATCTTGATTCCAAAGCTGTAATGGGTTCGAGGTATTAATCAATGGTTAGTGAGTTTGGATTACTAAAATGAATGAATGGAATATTGATGGTTAGATTAACTTAATGATGTAATATGGTCGAGTGATAGTTACTCAGATATCCGAATAAACAAATACCAAAGACAAGGCCAGTAACCCGGAGAATAAATATTTTATCTAACTAAATAACAACCCTATATATCAAGAACCTACTTATTGCACACACAAGCATGTTTCTCACCAGCAAAAACAGCCTTCATTAAACTTTGTGAGAGCAACCTTCAATACCACTATTTAATGATAACCGATAAATCGAAAAGAAACTAACAAATTATTATAGGAATGTTAGGTTTATCATTAATCGGGGTCTTGGGCTTTATTAATAATCAGAAATGAACTTACAGCATTTTTAACCGGTAAGCAATTATTCTGAGCATGAGGATCCACACCATTTGTTACAACTCCCTGAGTTTCATACAAAATAAGTAAAATTATTTTACCTCGTCATTCATCAAATTATACAGAAAAGAGCACACAAAATGTTTAAGCTTTGAGTAGGATTTTTCACTGAGTTCAATATTCATTTCTTGTACAAACACAGACGTCAATTCATTTAGCGTGCATAAGCTACAGATAAAGTATATAACTGTTAAAAAATTAAACTTACGACAACAGTCGGGGATCTTCATTGAGTACAGTTAACAAGAATAATCTCATATGATCACGAATACGTGAACTCATGATTTGAAATCTCCCAGAAGTCTGCTATATTTAGGGTAATAAGCAACTCCTAGTAATCTAAGTAGCTTTCAGTGATGTATCTAAAACTACAGAATAGTTTGATCAAAATTAAACATAATTTAATTGAATTCCATTTAAAAATGAGCTAGTGTTATTGTTAACACTAACTGAATTCTACTTATATAATCACTGCCGAGAAGGTCCTACTCACTGCCTTCTCGCACGGGGGTGCTGTTTACAAAATTAAGAGGATGAAAAGCGGATGTCTGACTCTTAAATGAAGTTGGTGAGTTCGGAGGACCCACCTATGAGAGTTGGAAAACCCTGGTTTCAAAACAATGGTCACATAAGCTCCAGGATTCTGAGGGAACAAATGGCGTATGAACCAATTCTTCAACACTGACTACCATAGGACACCAACTCCTGACGTCTCTTCACTGTCTTTTGGATTAGACCTCTAGGTCAAAGGCTCAGGAGGTGATTCCTAAGAAAACCATCTGCCCCCGTCCAGACACCCGCACAGTAACCCAACACACACACAAATTCAATGATTTATGCGGCGTATTTATATTTTGGCTCCCCTTTGTACCAACGTTTGTGTTTAAACAAATAAATAAATTATACGTCAATGAATAGTTTTAAAGTCACTATCAATTCACATTCAGCTGTAGGATTACAGTCATAATTTTCGAATTCAAGCTCAGAACCCCAAATTTCGGTTACGTGATATTCATCTGAGTCGACGGCGTATACACAAGATCAGCCGCCACAAGCCATGCATCAATCTCATGAGAACCATTGAATTTTCCAGTTATAACACAATAATGCTTTACTCACTCGGATTTTCGCGAGTTAAATAGTGCTACAAGTGCTCTGATAAAGAGGAAGCGGATGCGAAATGAAGTATCTTGCATTTCTTGTCAATAAAGAGTTTGGAATCGGAAGGAGACGAGAACATAACTCGCTATAAAACTGAATAAAGCGAAGGAAGAGTACTAACTCGCCAGTATCGAACCAGAAAGATCCCACATTATTTCGTGTGGAAGGTGATACGATGCCCAAAGATTAATCCTAATAGTCATGTCTTAATTGATTAGAAAAAAGTTACTTACAAGCTCATTTTTTTCAGATCGCCTATAACTTTTTACTACGTACATTTTGTCCCCATACTTTATATATAAGCATGTTATTTATTAAATGAAAAATTGTTCATCTGGTTATTAATCATTTGGGGGGCTAATTCAATTATACGGTCTCGTGAGTAGCCATCACTCGGTCACATTATATGATTGAGTTCACCTATAGATTAGCATTCTATTCACTGGTTTCGATATTCAAAATTTCGTCCAACCTGATAACAGAAAATCACCATAACAACAGCAACAACCTAAATGGCAAACTAATGAAACCTGTGATTACATATAAAAGTTACTAGCCATTGATAACATCAAGTCGAAAAGATTGTCATCCTGTGACAACAAAATCTTTTTAACATTACATGATCACCATACCTAAACTCTCCTAAAGTTAATTATTTTCTTATTTTACTACAAAGTTTGGATTCTCACGAAAAAAGATTGTTTTTCAAAAAGATCATCCTCATAGAAAACAAAACTATATATTTAATACTACCATTGGTAATCTCGAGAAACAAATGAAATGTCGTCACTTCTAATGGTTAATATCTGAGTAGCAGCTAGTGAATTGATACCTAGGTTAGCCTACATGAATTTGAAAAAGAGAAACTTTAATGATTACAGATGAATCGAATGTCTTTTAATAAATATAAATACTGCTTGAAATGGGGAAAATAAGTTGTATTCTACACAACTCTTCCGTGAAAAACAGACATGTTTAGGGTAATGTTAACTTTATGCATAAATAAATATGCATTCATGATACTTCTTCACTACGTTATCTTATGGAGATTTTTCACCATATTAAATCTTACATCAAATTAGATTTGGGTAATCTCGAAACACAACAAAAATACCAACTAACCTACGTACAACATTCGAATATCATGTCTTATTGCCCATGATGTCAATAGGTTCCCTTCTGAAAATCATATAAAAGCAATCTTTACTGTTTGAGGTCACTGATAACGATAAGCTCATGTATATACACGAAGTCCGAACTCATATGTTAAAAGATGTCCTATTGCACAAAAAATAAAATTCATTTTGTTTATTTAAACACAAAAACATTGGTACGGAAGGGAGTCAAAATATAAATGCGCCACATAAATCATTGAGTTTGTGTGTGTAGGGTTACTGTCCCTTTTTTATCCCCACAATTTCGCAAACAACACCCCAGCCAAAACTTAACTTCGATGCACCACGGATGTTACCGTATAGGCTAAAGTAGTCAGAAGTAATCATCTTGAAGAATTGGGACAACGGATGTGATTCTTTCAATAAACGAAGGAAGTAATGATTACAAGAGGGATAAAGATAAAGAAACTTAATGATTATAAAAAAATTCTAGGCATCTAATAGAGTGATCATTCCTGACTGAAACACGCATACATTATTGAAGTAAATGTACGAAATCAATTGATTCGATCGTGTGAAGACATTTCCCAAAAATATATATTATTTAGCCAGAAACCCCATTCTAAAATGTGGTGAGTTTTGATCTCTGATGGGTTGATATGTTTAGGTTCACTCAAAAAGACAGAATGAGTTTGGCGTTCCATCCAACTTCTCGAAATTCGGGAATCAAACTTACTGGGAGTAACGTATGTCTGATGAAAACACTCTGTTGGTGTTATTAGCTGATTTCACAGTAAAAGATTGTTCTTATACTTCATCATAATCAAATTATAGTATGGTAGAGTATTTTAACTTCATCGGTAGTAAACAGATCTTTCTCACATATGATTTGTGTCAGAAATATTGAATGCCCTAGTATGGCCGAGAGTAGGGAGGGCCCATCCTCTCTTGAAATGCTCTCATACAGCCACGCGTATACAGCCTCTGTCAGAGAAGTCCTACTCACTGCCTTCTCATGTTGTTAACGAAGTTGAGAGGACGAAAAGCGAATGTCCGGTGCATTAACAAGGCCAGTGGACACGGTTAGTCCACCTAGGGGAGTTAGGAAACCCCGATTCCAAACCAATGGTGCACATGGGCTCCAGTATCCTGAGGGAATAAAAGGCGTATGAACCAAGTTTATTTATTTATTTAAACACAAATATTGGTAAAAAGGGGCACCAGATACATATATGCCACACAAATCTCATTTGATTTGTGTGAGGGCCATAATACTGCCCGGGTGCCCAGACCGAAGCAGGCGGTTTTCTTAGGGGGACACACCCGGAGCTTTCGACCTAAAGGCTTAATCCACAAGGCAGTGGAGCAACGTCAGCAGATGCAGTCCCATGGGAGCCGGTGACCGACGATTGGTTCATACTGGAGCCCATGTGCACCACTGGTTTGGAATTAAGGTTTTCCAACTACTCTAGGCGGACTCACCGTGTCCACAAATCCGGTTAAAGCGCCGGCCATTCGCTTTTCGTCCTCTCAATTTGCCCCCAAATGCCCTGGTACGGCCGAGAGTGGGAAGAGTCACCTCTCCCTCTCGAAATGCTCTCATACAGCCACGCGTATACAGCCTCTGCCAGGGAAGTCCTACTCACTGCCTTCTCGTGGTGGGGGTGTTGTTTACGAAAGTGAGAGGACGAAAAGCGAATGTCCGGCGCTTTAACCAGGTTGGTGGACATGGAAAGTTCACCTAGGGGAGTTGGAAAACCCTGATTCCAAACCAATGGTGCACATGGGCTCCAGTATCCTGAGGGAACAAATGGCGTACGAATCAACCGTTGATCACCGGCTACCATGGGACTGCATCTCCTCACGATGCTCCACTGCCTTGTGGATCAGATATTCAGGTCAAAGGCTCCGGGTGTGGCCCCCTAAGAAAACCACCTGCTTCAGTCTGGGCACCTGAGCAGTATCACAGCCCTCACACAAATGGACTCTCCCCACTCCCGGCCGTACCAGGGCATTTGGGAGCATGAACCAAGTATTGGTCACCGGCTACCATGGGACTGCTTCTCCTCATGATGCTCCACTGTCCTTTGGGTCAAACCTCTAGGTTAAAGGCTCGGGGTGTGGCTCCCCAAGGAAACCACCTGCTTCGACATGGGCACCCGGCCAGTATCATAGCCCTCACACAATCAAATGAAATGACGATCTTTTGTATGACGCATATATATCTGGTACCCTCTTTTACCAATATTAATGTGTTCAAATAAATAAATAATAACTGAATTACGGTAACAATCTGAATGATTTTATTCCGATAGTAGCTATAAGTATCCCCTAAATGATAGCATTCTTTGCTTCATATAAACTACACCACTACAGGTGTCAATCTCCCTATGACCAGATCTTTCGAGCTGGTCTCCATGACATAAACTAAGATCTTTTACCAGTACCATGTTAATTTCTTTTGTTTTTGTTATCGAATATTGTCACTGGACATTTTAAAAACACTGATAAACCTCAGTCGTAGTTTCTCCCAGAAATCAGACTGTCAAGTCAAATATATGAAAAACCGACGACACTCACCAGCGAAACGAACAAGATGCATCTCAACTGTTTTTTTCTACAACAATCCGGAAGACACCAAACTCGTTTCAAGAATTGTACCTATAAGAGAGGTAGAAAGAATAAATATTTCTAAGTACGTAGAGCCGGTAAGAGTATAGGATATTCATAGGCTACTAGTATTCGATCATAAGTGTCTTCGAAGCATTGCTCGTACATCCTGAAACCACTCAATAAGTAATGCAGTTGTTAGGAAACGGGTATTACGTAAGGATGGCAAATCGATGGAAATAGTGAAACTTCATCAGTTGAGATGGCTGGGACACGTGTTACATATGTCCAACCACCGACTGCCCTGACATGCAATGTATCATGGTGTAGGAGTAGGTTTGAAGGAAGCTAGGGACAGCCAGACCAAAACATAGCACAAATCCATGAAGTCACTGACAAGTGGACTGAGCCATATTGGTAGGTGTAGACTACCTGATTGGGATCCGTGAGATGATAACAACCGATGGTTAGAGACCTTGAATGACATGGCTCAAAATTGTTTGCAATGGCGGAGGTGCATCCACTCTTTGTGTTCTGCCAAATTTTAATCTTCTGAATTCTTCAAGTCCCTATCTTTTTTTCTCTTTCCAAATTTATTTCGCTGGATTATACTCCTTCAATAACATCTTTCAACCCTAGTCTTTCAGATTACCGCTTATACTCTTACTACTTCTACCATTATGGGATCTTAATCGACAACTAGATCTCTGTGCTAATGCGGTATGGCAACTCAAAATGATGTACGTATGTACGAAGTTCTACGTTGTGACTGACTGACTGAAATGCTTTACTCATTGACAAGACGTCACCTGAGTAATGCAATTTTAAAAAACATTTGAAACAACTTGTGAAGAACTGGCTAGTTGACATTACTTATGATCTCAGTTTATCGTGATAAGCCCAAGTTATAAGTCTGAATAATTTTTGGGGTATTTACTTAGATCCCAGTCATGTGTAAGAGGGGTTTATACTTTTCCTTCATATACTCTAGGTCATCCAGAATTAAGACACTGACAGTAGTTCTACGAGTTGGTTATGAAGTAGGGAATTCTGTCGCCGAAGTTCGCCCGCAGTACTGTCTAAAAATAGTCGATGTACCAACTTAGCTCCTACAACTAACCATCAAAGATAAACGAGAATACTTTCCAACTCTCCTACTTTTTGATTAAATGTTTCGAAACATACAGGAGATTAACTTAACGCGATTAAGTACTATTGAGCTAAATTACTGTCCCCATATGATTACTTTAATCTAAAACCGTAAGGCATAAATAATAGGTGATGAAAAACTATTCTCTTGGTCTAATACTCACTTTAGGAAGAACAGTGATTGATGGTTTACCCATTTCGTTGCTAATTCTAGTGATGTTTAGTAAGGTCAGAATATACCATTGAGACTATTCAGTTATGTTTGAAATATTCACAGTACTTAGGATAGATCATTAAACACTGAGATGCTCATAACCTTAAAGAATGCAATGAGCAACGTGGACGATGTGTAAATCCAATTTAGGGGATTAGCGAGTATAACTACTCACTAGTGCTGTTTGTATTCTCTCTTCCCAATGTCCTACAGCTCTTCTGGAAGCTGTCCGGATTATTACACTGTACTTAGGAACCAAGATAGCCTGGTTCGGTAGGCCATAGAATCCTTACATTGTGTGGTATCCGCGTAGGGCGAATACCTAGTGCCCCGCAACTCTAGTTGGCGGTAATCAATTAACGGGTGGTAATTATATGATAGTCACGGCCGTTAAAAGTCTACAGCAGTATACATTCAAACACCTGAAGTAATCTTAGCTTTTGTCCTCAAGTTCGGTAAGGTTCATTTACAAATTGTTGCTCATCCTACCAAGAAAATACCCTAGAATATTTGATAATGCCAATATTACAACACTGATTTAACATGGGCTGGATACAGGTTTATCATTACACTTGTTTCTTTGAAAGCGTACACATTTTATGGTGAACTTGTGTAAACTATCCGTGAAATCTAAATACAACTGTCATAAAAAATTGAATGCAACTACAAGAAAATGTTTCTTTATATCCAGGTAAACAATGCATCTATTATCTTACTTAAAATGATGAGGAACGGCGACCTTGACCTCCAATCCAAACTTTCCGCGACGTCGTGAGCTAAACAATAACTTCAATGCATATTGAAAGACACCTCGGATTTGAAACAGTTAGATTTCATGATAAGGTACTTTGATCAACTATTCTATTTGGATGATTTAAATCACTGTGAACGGATAAAAGAGTTTATTCGAAGAGTGTGTTTGTTCAGTCTTCAATAATAACGATAAGAGGTCTGTTGATCTATTTTAATCCTTGTAGTTTGTTACACTGTGGAGGTGCAATCTCGTCTTCAATATATCAACAAAAGGTGCTGATAATACGTGTTCTGGTAGAGAATTCCAGTAATTCACTACTCGGTGCGAGAAGCGAAAATCCGGACGTAGACGATTTGATCTCGGTTTTTGGACTTTCTTCGAATGCCCTCTCAAATGATCAGCCCTAGACGGGAGGAAAAGATAGGACATGTTAGTACCAAGGTCATCGTTCAGGATACGATATGCCAATATTAGATCACCCTGTATTCACCGGTAAGATAACGGAAATAAGTTGAGGTGTCTCAGTCTGTCTTCATAAGATAGGCCAGATAGGCCTTTTACCATTTTTGTCCCGCGGCGTTGGACTCGTTCCAACATATCCGCCTCATATTTGAAACAAGGACTCGCTGCTTGAATCCCATATTCCAAATGTGGCCGTACGAAAGTTGGGTATAATAATCTAAACATTTCCCCATCCAGATACCGGAAAGATCTACGAATAGACCATAATACCCTATAGCCTTTTGCAACAACAGCCTTACAGTGACTGGTTGTTTTGAGATCACTACTTAGTATGACTCCCAAATCTTTGTAGTTTCTTACTTTGGGCAACACTAGTCCCCATATTGTGTAGTGATACGAATCATCGTAGTTATTTAATTGCATCACTACATTTTTGTTAGGGTCTACTTCTAGTGACCACCCGTTCATCCATGCCACTAATGAGTTAAGATCTTCCTGTAATACTATTCTGTCTGACATGCTATATATGGGTCTCCAAATCTTAATGTCATCGGCGAATAGTAGGACGGATGACTTAGCTATAGTTGGCGATTCATTTACATAAAGTAAAAAGAGAAGAGGACCTAGGATTGTGCCTTTGGGGAATCTACGTTTTACTGGTTCCAACCATGAGACAGCTCCATTTACTCTTACCCTTTGTCTCCTGTCATGAAGAAAGTCACTTACCCAGTGTATGACTGCATAATGAATTCCAAAACTTTCCAGTTTTAATTTAAGACCAGAATGGGAAACCTTATCAAAGGCTTTACTTAGATCTATGAAAATCACATCTACAGGAATATTGCGATCTTTTGCCTCATCCCGATCTTCTCTTGCAATGAGAAGATTTGTCAAACATGATAGACCTTTTCGAAAACCATGTTGTTCCTTGGACAAAAGATCATGTCTTTTCACGTAGTTTATAACAGCCATCCTAATAATTTTTTCATTAGTTTTACAACTGCACTAGTTAAGCTGACAGGTCGATAGTTACTAACTAAATCCCTACCCCTAGTCTTGTACACCAGACTGATTATTGCGTCCTTCCAGTCTCTGGGCAATCTGGACTGCCGTAGGGACATATCAAACAGTATCGTTGAAGGTTCAGCAATTATGTCTGATAGGGCTTTCATATTCCTAGGATGAATATCATCAGGACTACTAGACTTATCAGGTTTCAGATGCTGAAGTAGGCTTAAAACAGTTTCTTTCTTAATAACTACAGGGTTCATCAACAAGTCGCCACAGTAACAATGAATAGGTGATCGTTCCTCATTATTGGTAGAAAAAACTTTACTGAAATATTCCGAAAAAGCTTCCGCTTTTTCGGTATCATTTCTTGCCAAACTTAACAGATTTTCTTGTATCAAAAGTGATGGTATCCCATCACTTCTCTGAGTTCGCCTCTTTATATACGAGAATAACCGTTTTGGACTATGTTTGCAATCCCTAACCAATTGTTTTTCATATGACCGTCTAGTCCTACCAATTAACGCTTTACAAGTATTTCTAATCTTACAATAACTAGATCTGTACTATTCTAAGACAGTACAGATAAACATGTTCTAGTGTTTTTCTACGCATAGGAAGTTTCTTAACTTCTTTATTTATCCACGATGGACTATTGTTCGGTCTACGTGGTACCAAGTATGGTATGAACGGGGACGTGACTGCACTTAACTTGCCTTTAAATACAGACCACGCCTCTTCAACTGACCAATCTATCTTAGCAGCACATTCCTGAATGGCTGGTATGTTACCTCTCCATATGTTTGGGCGAGTCTTAATCTGATCGTATATCATGTCGCTAGCTCTAAACGTGAATGATAAAACAGCGTGATCGCTATTTACTAACGGGGGAAGAATATTTAGGTTAGCAATATCCTCAGTCTCATGGGTAATTACCAAGTCCAACAGAGAAGAACCTTGGTTTACACCAAAACGTGTAGGTTTGGATACATGCTGTACTAATGCATGCTCCATTACTGTTTTCAAGAACCTGCTATCAATGGAGTTTATAGAACCTTTCGTGGTCATCTCAGTCCAACTAATGTCAGGTGCATTAAAGTCTCCTAATATCAAGCATCTGTTATTTGCACTCCATAGCCGAATGTGCTCTAAAATAAAGTCATCAGCTAAGCAGATTGGGCTGCGGTAGATGACACCGAGTGCAAATGTACAACATCCGACAGTGAGCTCACAGCTAATGACTTCACTAGTTCCACTATCATGGGATTCGCAAACGGAGGAGCGGATATTTATACTATTGGTTATGTATAGAAGGACGTCACCTCCTTTCCTGCATCTATGTCTATCACTTCTTAACCAATGATATCCGGACAATTCTGGGGTGATATCGAAGTCATGGACTAACCAAGTTTCCGTCACAGCTACAATGAGTGGCCTTAATTTGTCCACTAATTCTCCTAGCTCGTAGAATTTATGTCTTAGACTACGGGCGTTGGCATGTAAAACCCCTAGGGAGAACGACCTATCCACACAGGCGTTGGTAGCATTCGCTTCCAAGACCTGACTATTCGAAAACCCACCAATCGAAGATTTTCTTCACCGTTTTGTCGACGAGTTTCTAGTTCACCTAGTGCCGTCTTCCTTTTTATTCTATCTTCAAGAGACATATCCGGGCTAATTCAAATGTCAGAGTTGTCGTGACTTCGAGCGTTACTTAACAGAAGATCAGGTTGTTTCTTCGACCCTAAGATTACCTTAAGGAGTCTACACGGTCGGGGTAGAACACTGTTATCGGCCCTTTTATCTATTCTAACTAATGTTTTGACCTGAACACCTTTTGTTTTATCTGGTAATATGCTACGGATATATTCACCGAGCCTCTTTAAGTCATGGGTGTGTCTAACCTTAGAATCTGGATCGTTAGACTCTGGCAACTTACTCACAATAATATTCAATGATATTAAGTTTCTCTCAGTCGCACTAGCATGATGTTCTGCCGTTCTATCAGAGTGCGATAGTGCATTGAGTGACTCAGACTGCGAGTTCCTCAATGACTTGTCAACCAAGTGTGCTTTATCTTTAGTTTTTTTCCTTTTCTTCTCCTCCTTACTGCGGTCCATTTTTCGTCATTCAGGACAGCTGCATCGAGACTATTGGGGACGGTGACGGTTTTATGTGGGTCCTCAATTTCTACTAAAGAATCATGATTATTCATGTTAATACCATGTGGTGATTTACTCCTCGTTTGTTGTAACGGAAGTTTCACTTTGTCATTAATTAGAGTAGGTTGTTCAGTGTGTTTTGTAACAGCACTTACAACACTGACACAGTCTTCACTATCAGTACTTGCGTTACTAGCGCACCCACTATCTTTCTTTTTACAGGCTAGAGCCAATAGGCTCATAGCCTCCTGGATTAATATCGTCTTGTTAGTACAGCAGAACATACTAGTATATCCCCAAAATCAATAGCCCTGTAAGTCCTCGACATTAGATGCCGATCACATTAGTTTTGGAGGACTCACCTAGCTGAAGTAGCTCGGTCATATATCCGCACCAGATCAGGAGTGGAAACGCCATGCTCAACGTAGTCTGCATTCGCTAGCCAGGTTAGACCAGTCGATTCACGATATAGTGATAACCTATCAAATGTATTTTCGAACCTCCTCGCTTCTGTCTTTGGATTACACTTGGTGGGTGCGGTTCATAATAGCAGTTGTTACTGGTTAAAGAGTTGTCAAACCTAGAATATCTGCGGCATTCTTCACTGGTGAGCCTAAAATGGTCTGGCACACTAATTTACAAACTGTGAGTCTGTTCCTTTATAGAATTTCATAAATCATTACTTTTGAAGATACGACCAGTATTTTAGCTTGACAACTATTAACCAGTAACATCTTTTATATTAGAATAGTCTTCCGCTTGATTAAAATTAGAAGTCAGATGAGAAGAGGTTGGAAAGATATATTTGATGCGTTATCAATATATCGAGAAGCGGTTGATCTAGTCTGGCTAATGATCGTGGGAGATGTTTCCCACGCTGAGCTGTAACGTGATCTGGTGCGGATGCATGACCGAACGCCTTGAAATAAACAAGTCCACTCAAACTAATGTGGTCAACATCCAATGTCGGACACTTAAAATGCTATTGATTTTGGGGAATTATTTACAGATACAGTTTCAATAGGCACACCCTTACTGGAGGCGTTCAGTTATTTATCCACATCAAATCATCAGTCGAAATTCGAATCCTTTGAAACCGTTGGCCAGCTTGCATCAAACGGTTATTGATATATTTGTGACTTTCCAAATATATTTTTGGACCCCTTCATTTCCCGGTTTGGAATTGACTGGGTCGGTATCCTCCTATTATTAAGGTGTTACGCGTAAAGGCTTTGCCAAACACTAAATACCCGTGACATATTTAGTATTGTTCACCAGTATTTAATGTGCATATACATCGTATCAATTCCTTTAGAAGGATAAAAATGCTTCGAAACTTATCAATAGGCTAACTAAAACATCAGTTCACAGGCTCAGAGTCAAACCTTAAGAAGAGAAC